ACCAAAAAAAAGGCTTTTAACAGCAGTTATTAAGGGTTTTTAACAATGAAGGCGCAATGGATACAATTGACGTTGAAAGGTAAATAAAATACAACGGTTCTAATAAAAACCGCCATGCAAGATCAAATTTCCATGGCGGTTATTAATAAAACTACCGTGGAAAATTCATTTTCCACAGGGGTTTTTAAAGTAACCGCAGTGGAAATTCAATTTTCCACAGCAGTTTTTGGAAGAACCGCCGTGGTAAATATTTTTAACGGTTGTTATTTAAATAACAGCCGTTAAAAGTGTAATTTTTTTAATAATATTTTGTTTACTTTTGTTTGGCTCCCTGCAGTTTACAATTCCAAATAAATGCAGACAGTGCAGAATATAAATACAAAACCATTTCAAGATGACCATATAACTAGCTGGTTAATACATACATCGCAGTAAGCATTGAAATTTCTTTTAACATAAGCACAAGGAGCTTACAAGGGTTTGAATCTATCTAGGCAGGATAGAAACCAATCATATAACTACAAGATGATACCTTAGCTTGCTACTTCTCCTAACAACAAGTAAAGGCATAATTCAAAGAACAGTAACAAGCTAAGCTAATTATGTCTGCACAATAGAACTAAGGAACATGTATAGGGGGAACTAAGAGAAAAAAATCTAACAATGAATTTTTTGAGGAATGATCTAACTATTTCAAATTTTCAAAACTCTATAGAAATGTTGTTGACAAAGTATTTCTCATCAAGTTGATTTCTTCCATTTGATATGGCGTAACATTTTGAAATACCTATAAATCAAAAATAACATAGTCAACTTAATCAAAAATGTGAAAAGAACTGAAGAATTACATGTGACGTAACTTATCTTTACCTTATCTAATTTCTCAGTCACCCATGTCTCAATGATGTCATTCATGTAGCAGATGACATAATATCCACATTCAACACTCTTGTTGACAACGGTACTAACAAAATGAAATATAAAATTGAATATTAGACTTTAATTATAAACATTAACTTTAATTATTGAAAAAGATTTAACAGTATATATTTAGCTCAAAACAACATACTTTTGGGAGAATCTATGTTGGTGGTTGTCTATTTTGCTTCTTCGCCACAACATTGAAACTATGAAAAGCCCTATCAACAATAAAATTTAATGATGTTAGAGCATGTTTTTATAAACTTCACACGTAATAAATATATAAACAAAAACTAACGTGTCGATGACATCTTTGGTTTCTTCGGATGGACTTCCATAGAGGGAATCAAACCAGTAGACTTTGTTATCAAAAAGGGCACCAACAATTAGGGTCCAATGATAACTGCAAAATACAAACCATGTTAATTATAATCCTATACATACAACTTGTGTATCTCAAATACAATAATATACTTACCCTTCCACGTAAGGTGCAAAATATATTTGCTTTCTTGTCTGAGTCATCGTGGTCATCATGTAGATCAGCCTCGCTTCCATAGTATTGACTATTTTCTGCACCCTTTGCAGACACATAAAGTCATATGTTCCTTTAAGTCCTCTTTGCCGACAGATTTGAGTAAAATGCCTGTTGTTCAAATAAGAAACATTAGGACATGTATAAGTATAACATGAATTAAGAAAATGATATTGTAACTTACAAAATAGCCAGCTGCATAAGGACTATATCCAACTCCTTAAAGTTGAGGAACTGAACGAGGTCCTTCTTGTCAATAGTGAAGTTGTATGTTATATTTGAACCCACAATCCCTAGCAGCATCTTGCAAATAACGGGCTTATCCATGTTTGGCACTATGGAATGAAGAACCTCCAAACTAGAATACATTAGGGTAAGATCACCAGGAAGAGGCAGGAGTACAGGATCTGATGATGCGCTCTTCACTGTGGCCTTCTTCGCTGTCACCTTTTTCGTCAATGGCTTTGTAATAAGTTTCTTTGGCCATAAAATGAAATGTCCTTTAGCCTAAGCCAATAGTCGAACCTCATCAGTAGGGTTGGGTATTGGTGTACCACCATGACCACGAAGAATCCTATCCACCGTCAGCCTTGCTTGATCCTTTAGAACTTTCATGCCATGGATCATTGTGCCCAAGAATGCTCGACCATTAGTGACATGAACAGCTAAATCTCCAAAGTCCACATAAAGAGCACACGGCATTCTATCATCTTTGACAGGGTTAGGGCTACGGTCAGGGTTAGACACTGTCAGTTACTGCATCTAATTATTACTACCCTTCCCACTTTTTATCATAAGTGAACCCTAAAACATAATATGAAATTAGTTAAGGCACATTAAATAAGTTTAAATGGATCAAATGAACCTTTAGAAGATTTGAAAATATGTGTGATTATTACCTGGGAAGGTTCAGATACTCGGGGCATCTGGAATCCGGTCGTGCCCATCATCATCATAGCCTATTGAAACTTAACGTCGAACTCCTCACGTATCTTTTGCATCTCCGTCTTGTGTTGTTCACTGAGTTTAGCTCGAACTCTCTCTCTTTCTTCATGTAATCATTGGTCGAGCTCCTCTTTAGATACCATGTTAGCAAAGAATGATCCAGTGCTTCTTTATGAACCAGAGCCAAAAAATTGTTTAATACTAATCCTTTTAGGGGCCCCTCTCACTCTGCCAGGATGGTCAGCCTTTCCAATAACAGTGGCTAAGATATCCATCTATCCTTGAGGGATGAATGTACCTTGGGATAATTGCTTCTCAAGTGTATTTTGTAACATTAAAGCAAGAAATTCAATTTAAGATAATTAAAAAAAATCAATTTGAAGCATAATGTATAAATATTATTTACAATCCTCTCAGCAACATCAGCAGACTCTAGAGTAATGTATTGACCCTTTTGATCACTGGTTAACCGAATAATTGTCAGATAACTGCTAATTCTTTCTTAATCATTTACTGTTAAGCTTGATCGAAAATGTGTTAAATAATTCAAATTTATGTGTTAATCAATCATATGATCAATCATTAATAACACTGGTTGGGTATAAGATGTTGCAGCAAATTATTGATCATTTAATCGATAATTTATTGATCAATAAGCTGTCGGGTAAAGATATAAACTACCATGAGTATAACATAAGGATTATCGACCACCTGATCGATCATAAAGTAATTGATGAAGACTTAGATAACTGGTAAAGTTTTCCTGACTTATTTACTGTGTTGAATAGTTCTTTTATTATCGATTAGTGCTTTATCGATAACTTATTCGAATTTTATGTGTCAAAACATTTCTGGTTCATCAATAATGTGTTCCGTCAAAGTATTTTACGATATTTTGCAAAGTAAAGTTTTTCACAATCTATCATCGATCAATTGAGCGATCATCCTTTTATCGATAATATGATCGATCATCATGGTCTCTGTATCATCTTTTCATATCACATGATCGATCAAAGCCTTACTCTGGAATTTTCTAAAAACAAACTTTCCACAGGCATTTATTGATCACTTAATCGATTAATTATTAATCGATCTATTAATCAATCATCAACTCTTCTTTGTGCATTACTAGGAAAATATCTTTAAACCACTTTTCGATCACTTATTCGATCACCCCTTTATCGAAGAAGTGTTCGATTATCATAGCTTGAAAATGGGATTCACTCTAGCTTAGCTTAATCAATAATATGATTGATCAAATGATTTTCAATCATCTATTTGATCAATGCATTATTTCATCACTTAAACAGTTCTTCACGATGATTCTTTATAAACCATATGAACATTATTTCTTCAAGCTTTTTTCAGCGTTATTTAATCATACAAATCTCTTATTAAAAGGCATGCAAATTTGGAAGAAATTAGCCTTGCACAAAATACAGAAGCATTTCACTTGCTAAGAACACTTTGGCTATATTTTGTCATTTATCGATGACTTGTTCTATCATTGAATGATCCATAACTTACTCGATAAATGCATACATCTGTTAAGTCTATTTCTTTTGCAATTAATCGATAATATGATGTATCAAAGGATTATCAATCAAGACATCGATCAAGTAAATTCAGTTTATTTTCTAAGTATTTGGTGATTGATTTTGTGTTTTTCAACTATTGCATCAGTTTCAAGATTCATCACTCCTTCTGTCACTCATTCCTATTTTATTGAAGAAGGAAACTTACTTATGCCAAGAAACTTCTGCAGATTACGATGTGCAACGGTTATTTTATAGCCTTTAACCTACTATGTCAGAAGTATTAATGGCGAACTACTGTTGTAACTGCCGAACACAAGCAAGCGATCTTCCAACGACTAGAAGCTCTTCAGTCTAACGGATAATTGAAATACTCCAACTATAAAAAGCGCAAAAAGCATTGAATGAAGAATTGAATATGTGAGCTACTGTTTGCTAAAAATCTATTATTGCATTCAATACTCTATTTTATCGAACTTCAGTGTTTATCATTCAAATACTCTGTGAAATGATATATCTTTTTTTACTCAATTCTGAGAGTAACTCAAGAGTGTGGGCTCTTGAGGGAATTGTAACCTTACGGATAGTAAAGGGGTGATTGAGAGATTCAATTACTGTACTGAGGCACCAAAAGCCCGTTTAATCTTGAGGATATAGTGGAAGTCTCAAAGGCATTCTGAGGACTAGACGTAGGTCAAGTGGTCGAAACTAAACCAGTATAAACTCTGTGTCTTCATTCTTTGGTAAAACCTTCCTGACTCATCTCCTCTGTTTTATTTGCTAAATTATTTTATTTCGTTAAATTTTTATACCTCACCCAATTCACTCCCTTCTTGAGTGAAAGTGCTACTAATACTTTTCTCATTCATTGAGGATAAAAAAGTAATTGCAGCTTTGCATTCTTATGTAAGGAGGTCCCTCGAACCTAAATGTGTGACCTAGCCTTTATGTAGCATTTACTCCTCCTTGGGACTCAGCACCATTTCCCCTAATTTCAATGTTAAAAATGTTATTACGAAATTTTGGTTCCTTTTATTGTAATATTCCCCACCGAAGAATGGGAAACTCGGGTCATGAATCCGAGATAATTAGGATTTGTTTTCCGATCTATGAAAAATGTTATTGATTTCATGTTTGATATGTGGTAGAATTAAAAATTTTGGGAACTTTTAAAGCTGGGGGTTTCTGAAAATTTCATCTCAATTCAATCAGATCGAAAAATTTAGTCGAAACTCGGTTGGGTTGGGACCAGGATGCCGCTTAAAACTATGGGTCTAACCAATTGGTTCCAAAACAAAATAGTTGATCCTCTGCTTCTGATTCTTCGCAGGTAGTTTTCCTTCCCAACTTGTAATTCATGTTTCTCACGTTTCAGGTGCCATATACTATTCGTTTGTAGTGATCTCATAACTGATTTGTGTGGGATTCAACTGCCATTCTTTTTTTTTTTCCTTTTCTTTTCTTTTCTTTTCTTTTTTTTGGTTTACGTGCTATTCGAATATCATAAGCAATTAAGAATATGAAACTGATGTCTGCGAGAGAAGCTCAAAAACAATGAAACCACATTTGGGTTTCTCTAATTGTGTTGGGGTATCTTGTTTGGGCAGCAGTGGTGGATTGGTGCTTCTATGAGATAACAAGATTCCTATGCAACTATGTTCTTTTCCAGAATGTCATATTGTTGGGGTTTTAGACTTTCAGTACGTTCTCAGCGGTTTGGGTTTGTAGCTAACGAGGCTGCCCACTGGCTTGCCTCTGTTGCCTTGTAGGGTATGTGGTAAGGCCCTCATTCTCGTAGGCAGGGATTTTGATGCAAAAATCTTTCCTTCAATGGTTGGTGTGCGATGATGGAGTTCGAAGATCTCCCTGATTTGTTTCTCTGTAGTTCTTGTCCTAATCTATTGGCTCTCTGTTTGATGAAGATCTTAGTTTAGTTGGTTATTATATGCACCAATTTGGCCAGAACAAAGTCTGGAGCGTTTACATCAGTCTGTTTGAAATACTTTCTATAATATGCATTTGCGATTATTAGATCTGTTTTCAGATGCCTTGTGACATCTAAAGCATAACTAATTGTATATGATTTTTATTCAATTTACTGATTTTGTATGTGGAGCTGAAATGGGGGCTTTCATTTTCTGGGCAGCCATGTGGTATTTTTTGTTTATGTTTGAAGTTGAAAAATGAATGTTTTCATGGAAGAGATTGTTAACAATTTGGAAATCTTATCCGTATGCTATTATGCCTCATTCTTTCAGCAATGAGGCTGCTAGAGACAACAACAATTAGTTTTACATGTTAATGTTCTCCATTTTGTTCAGAGGTGCTGAGCCGAAACAGTTGGCTTTCTCTGCTGCTCTTGGCATTACTTTGGGAATATTTCCTATATGCGGTATGTTATTATCAAGCATTTCTTGATTTTTGGAAATTTAATTTCCGTTAAATGTATGATAGAATTACTTGATTGAGACTGCTATTGATATTGTCATTGTCATTCTAGTGTCTCTTCTTTTTCATTTCAACAACACAATCTTCATTACATTGGAATATGTGAGTTAGAAATTTTGCTCTTGTAACCAAGATCCATGTTGTTTAGTTGCATGATAGAAACCAGTGACCTAATGCCATGCTCAGAAACTTCCCTGAACTTTTGTTGAACTTCTAAGGAGGACCAAGGTAATATGAGATACCTAGGTCCCACATCAAGACTGTTCAATGAATACTTAAATTAGGCAGCTCTCACCTTAATAGTCACCTTATGGAAGAAGGTTATCACCCTGTTTAAATGCCTATCATTATGTATGAGAACTAGAGGTCAGTGGCTGAAGGGTTGCCTATGTTTTGGCTGGCAGAAGGATGAGTCAAATGTCACAAAGTATAGCTGCAAGGATCTAAGCTTTCTAAGGACTCACCAACTGATTGGGAAGTAGTATGGGATATCTAAACCTTGCATTGAGGGTAGTATGGGCTATTCAATGGGATACTTAAAGAGAATGGTTTTCCCATCTCAATAGCTAGAAGGAGGCTTTTCCACCCTGCTTGAGTGCATATCATTTGGTAATAGAGCTGGTGGTTGGTCTCTCTAGAAAAGGCTACCTGAGGAAAGTTTTAATTAATAAAAGTCAAGGCACGAGTGATATGTTGCAATGTGGAGCCAGTAGATGGTTGGTTTTACAAGGGAGGCCAATTGATAATGACGAAGGTAGATGGCATGCAAAATTCCTTGTTTTGTAGTATGGGATTGCGTTACTCAGTTGAGTGTTTCAGTGGAGTTATTCTATGATTTCTATCACCTAGCCTTGTAGGGAACCTTGCTTGGCTATGTATTGTCTTCCCACTGATTTACAATGTTAAAGTTTGAAAAATGTGGTTCATTTATTGTTGGCTATTCAGTCTCTATTGGGCCTTGGGCCATGCAGATGTGTGCAAATCTGTGTGATTCTTTCTTTTAAATTTCTGTTTATTAGAGAGATCATGATTCCTTTCCTGATATATCTTAGGATTTGATTTAGACTCCTAGAATCTCGGCCTGATCCTAGTATCTTGCCTAATCCCTAAAATCCCGGCCTAATCTCCTCATTCATTGAGGGAATTGTATCTATTTAAGTCTGCCATTCTATTCGAATAAACAACAACTTCAGAATCATTAGATTCTTCATGGTATCAGAGCAGAGATGATCCGGTTTGGAATGGGCTTCAACAATGATGGCCAAAACAACCCTAGGGTTTCCGTAAACAGCCAATCAGGGCCAATGGCAACAGCGACTGGTTCTACCAGCCACTAGAATTCGATCGGATTGATGGCAACAGCAACTGGTTCTACCAGCCACCAAAACTTGATCGAGTCAAGCCCTACATCTATCACAATTCATCGGCTCAACGGTGAAAATTATATGCAATGGTCATCTAGTGTTCGGTTATATATTATGGGCAAAGGCAAATATGGATACTTGATTGGTTCTGTCCAGAAACCAGCCGAAGGTGATGAAAAGTATCCTACTTGGGAAGCTGAAAATTCCATGGTGCAAGCTTGGCTGATAAACTCCATGACAACTGAAATCAGTGCTCACTTCACATTTTTCCAGACTGCAAAAGAGGTCTGGGACGCTGCAAGGGACATGTTCGCTGCACTGAAGAACAAAGCTGCCATTCTAGAAATAGAAAGATTTCTTCATGATTTCAAAAAGGGAAGTCTTTCTATAACCCAGTACTACACTGACCTAGTCATTCAATGGCAACAGCTGGACATGTATGAATCTTATGATTGGAAGTGTACTGGAGATGCAGCTCTCTATGCAAAGATAAAAGAAGAGAAAAGGGTCTTTAAGTTCCTACTCGGATTGGATGACAGCTTTGAAGAAGTCCGAGGAAGAATAATGGGACTCAGCACATTGCCACCTCTAAGGGAAGTATTCTTCACTGTTAGGAATGAAGAAAGCAGAAAAAGACTTACTTCCACCGAATTGAGGAATGAACCAAGTCAACCAAATGCCCTTATGTCAAAAGGGGGTCCCCAAGATGACTCCAGAAAACAGAGCAAATGGTGCGACCATTGCAGAAAAAGAGGCCACACTAGAGAGGTGTGTTGGAAACTACATGGGAAACCTTTGAAAAAAGGGAGACAGGATGGCCGAGGCTTTGTTGGAACAACTGATAACAAGAAAGAACCAGAATTCAGCAAAGAAGAACTGAATCTACTCAGAAAATTCCTGGAAAAACATGATGCCCAGGAAACAACCCTTGCTGCAGGTTATGTTGCCCACACAGGTAAAACCATATTAGCACTAAAAGCTGACATACATCATTCAAGACTCTGGATTGTGGATTCAGGTGCAACAGATCATATGACTGGGAACAAAGAACTTTTGACCGAAATAAGACCATGTCCCATAAATATCTATGTTAAAGTGGCTGATGGTAAAGCCTTAAAGGTTGAGGGCCTTGGAATCGCATATATAACCCCAGAAATAATTCTGCATAATGTCTTTTATACCCCTGGATTGAAATGCAGTCTACTTTCTGTAATTACTATTACTCAAAATCAGAATTATGATGTTCATTTCACTGCTACTCAATGTGTTTTTCAGGATCTGAAGCGAGGGAAGATGATTGGCACAGCTAAGATCCTAGAAGACCTCTACTGTTTGGAAGTTCAAGAGAATCAACACAAAGGAAATATCATCAAGTCTGTGACACATTCCTCTGTTTTTTCTGCTACTTCAGAAAATAAAGATGCTTTGTTATGGCATTATAGACTAGGGCATCCTCATTTTCATTATTTGTCCAAGTTATTTCCTCAATTTTCAAACAAGAATGATTTATCTTTCATGTGTGAAGTCTGTCAGCTCTCAAAACAAACCAAAGCAACTTATAAACCTCACTCACATCAATGCACAAAGCCTTTTAATCTTATTCACAGTGACATATGGGGGCCATCTCGCCTACCTTCTCTCACTCATGCTAAATGGTTTGTTACATTCATTGATGATCACACACGACTTACCTGGGTATTCCTAATGAAAGAAAAATCTGACCTACCTGCTACTTTCATCAAATTTCACAAAATGATCCTAACTCAGTTTCAAACCCAAATTCTTACCCTGAGAAGTGATAATGGACGAGAGTACATGTGCCAAACCCTACAAAAATACCTTCAGGAACATGGGATTATTCATCAAACTAGCTGTGTTGACACCCCACAACAGAATGGGACTGCTGAACGCAAGAACCGTCACTTATTAGAGGTTACCAGATCTCTTATGTTTACACATAATGTCCCTAAACAGTATTGGGGAGAAGCTCTCCTTACTGCCGTTCACTTGATCAACCGACTCCCATCCAAAACCCTTGATTTCCAAACGCCAGTAAACCTTCTCACCAAAACCTATCCCTCTAACTCCCTTACCCGTGACCTTCCCCTGCGAGTTTTTGGATGTGTAGCATATATTTATCACAACCATGGCAGTAAACTTGACCCAAGAGCCCTAAAGTGCATCTTTTTAGGCTATTCTTCTACCCAACAGGGGTATAAATGCTACTCTCCATCCCTACGTAAGTTCTTTGTCACTATGGATGTTCAATTTGATGAGACCCAAGCCTACTATCCAAAATCTCCCATTCAGGGGGAGAATTTCAGAGAATGGGAGCTTTTACACCCACAACACACCCAACCTACCATACCTACCAGTGCTGCCACACTAGAAACAGACACTTCCACACCAGAACCAGAAGTTTCTACACCTGACACACCCACAACAGAACCTGGAATGCCCCTAACAGCACCTCCTACACCTGTACCTGATCCTCAACAGCATTCTGTACCTCCAGAAACAGACTTTAACACTAGTTTGATCCACCTGAAACCAACCTGAATACACTTAACCCTAGCATGATGCCTAACAATGCAGTACAGGACAGTGATGATGACCAAACAGATGCAGATTCTGATAAGGAGCATGAGGCAAACAGTAGAGGTTCTTCGGGTTCTGGGCAAAGCCAAGAATCAACCCAACCTGAGGATCTTGGATGGCCCATTGCACTTAGAAAAGGGGTAAGGAAGTGTACTCAACACCCTATCAGCCATTTTGTATCCTATGATAAGCTATCACCATGCATGAGGACTTTTGTTACTAGCATTGACAGGGACCAAATTCCCAGAACTTTTGATGAAGCTGCCAAGGATCATAAGTGGAAGGCAGCTATAGATGAGGAGCTGCAAGCACTTGATAAAAATCAGACTTGGAAGATTGTCAGCCTCCCACATGGAAAGAAGGCAGTGGGGTGCAAATGGGTCTTCACTATTAAATATAATCCAGATGGGTCTATAAGCAAGTTTAAAGCTCGACTAGTGGCTAAAGGTTTTTTTCAAACAGAAGGGATTGATTATCAAGAAACATTTGCACCAGTGGCGAAACTAAACACTATAAGGATACTGTTGTCCTTAGCAGCCAACCTTGATTGGCCCCTTCACCAACTTGATGTTAAGAATGCTTTTCTAAATGGGGATCTCGAGGAAGAAGTGTATATGAGAGTTCCTGAGGGACTAGCAGAACATGGAAATCTGAAAGCTGCATGCAGACTGTATAAATCCCTTTATGGTCTCAAACAGTCTCCAAGGGCATGGTTCGAAAAATTCACGAAGGTAGTGAAGAAATCTGGTTATATGCAGTGCCAATCAGATCATACATTATTTGTCCGACATTCAGAAAGAAAGGTGTCTATCCTAATTGTGTACGTAGATGACATTGTTATAACCGGAAATGACAGCAACGAAATAGCAAGATTAAAGAAGATTTTGGCAGCAGAATTTGAGGTGAAAGACTTGGGGAGTCTAAGGTATTTTCTTGGAATGGAGATTGCCAGATCAAACAAAGGGATCTCAATGTCACAAAGAAAGTACACGCTAGACCTACTTAAAGAAACTGGCATGTTGGGAGCTAAACCATCATCAACACCTATGGATCCCTTGGTCAACCTTGAATACAAAACAGATGGTGTACCAGTTGATGCAGAAAGGTACAAACGATTGGTAGGAAAACTTATCTACCTATCACATACAAGACCAGATATTAGCTATGCAGTGGGAGTGGTTAGTCAATTCTCTTCACAACCACAAGAACAACACATGGAAGCAATATATACTATCCTTAGATACTTGAAAATGACACCTGGAAGAGGGGTTTTCTTCAAAAAGGGAGAGTCAAAAGACATAATAGTATATACAGATGTAGACCATGGAAGATCTCTTGTTGATAGAAGGTCAACAGGGGGGTACTTTACATTTGTTTGGGGTAATTTGGTAACTTGGAGGAGCAAAAAGCAAACTGTGGTTTCTAGAAGCAGTGCAGAAGCTGAGTTAAGGGCACTAGCTAATGGTGTTTGTGAAGGAATATGGATCATACGTGTCCTAAAAGAAATCAGAATCAGTGTTAATATCCCAATTAAGTTATGGTGTGACGCATGTCAGCACTACAAATGGTTCATAACCCTATGCACCACGATAGAACAAAGCATGTTGACATTGATCGGCATTTTATAAAGGAGAAGATTGAATCAAAAATCATTGACCTATCTCATATAAATTCTGGGTCACAAGTTGCTGATGTCCTTACAAAGCCACTAGATCGAGGCAAGTTCGAAAAATTTAGAGACAAGCTGGGAATGTTTGATATCTACATTCCAGCTTGAGGGGGAGTGTTGGCTATTCAGTCTCTATTGGGCCTTGGGCCATGCAGATGTGTGCAAATCTGTGTGATTCTTTCTTTTAAATTTCTGTTTATTAGAGAGATCATGATTCCTTTCCTGATATATCTTAGGATTTGATTTAGACTCCTAGAATCTCGGCCTGATCATAGTATCTTGCCTAATCCCTAAAATCCTGGCCTAATCTCCTCATTCATTGAGGGAATTGTATCTATTTAAGTCTGCCATTCTATTTGAATAAACAACAACTTCAGAATCATTAGATTCTTCATTTATGAAGAAAATGCTGTATAGCTACTGAGATGAGTATTTTTTTCCCCCTCAAATTAGCAGGGATTATGGGGAGGGTGATGGCAGTTAATATACTTTTTAATTTTAAATATTTCATTGAACCAACTGAGGCGATGCTAGATGATGGGATTGGTTGGAGTTCCTTTTTTAAATCATATAAGGATTAGATGTTCAGCAAGGTTAAAATCCATTCTACTGTGCCGATATTTAAGTTAAAGCTTATGCAACTGAATAATGTAAGTCAGGGCAACTGTTGATTTCCAGCATCTAATCAAGTAGTCTTGCACAATGACAGATAGGTAACCCTGGTTTAATATTGGCAGCTGTCTGCATAGTCAACTATATGTTATTTTGGATCAGTATTTTACAGAAGTCGAGATGCAGCTCATGGAAAATGGAGAATTATATGGTACAATGTTAACTGTGTTTTATTTCATGACAGGGGAGCAGCTTCATAGCTGTGTTAATTTTTGTTTAAGTATAGCTGACATAATTCTACTAAGCTCTACTATGATTTCACATGCAAGCTTATTTTGTGTTGCAGGTGTCACTGTATTCCTTTGTGGGGTGGCAATTGCATTGCTTCGATCATTTTGTCATGCTCCGACTTTGATGCTGGCAAACTTCATTGCTACTCCAATAGAATTGAGGTTCTGTACATTCAAAACTGTCCATTTGTTTTTTTTTTTTTTTTTTTTTGTGATGGTGATTTGTTTGTTGAGGTGTTTTATGCAAATATATGTTAAACAACCTCTTTATGTCCTTATTATTATTTTTTTAGTTAAGAGGATTTTTTATTTCTTAATTTCTGAAAGCAAATGTTTGTCGCAATTTGCATCATTTGAATATGACACTTGTAAATGCATATACAATGGATGGTTAGGCAGTGTTGTACATTATAATGGTATAAATCTTGGGAATGCAGCAATGGACATTATTACTCCTAGAAAATTAGGATGAAAGTAAAATAGTCTTGGCATGGGCACATCCTATTTCGCTAGGGAGTCCCTACACCCAAGTTCAACCCTACCCTCAAAACTCTTCAGTTTATTTTACGAAAAAATCACTCTACTTTTGGAAAAATTTAGGGTATTTATTTAAGTTTCTAAAAGTAATCAGAATATAAAAAAGTTAGATATTTAATTACCGTGAGAAAGTAGTCTGAATTGCTTCTGATTATTTTGAGAAGCACTTTCAAGTAAAATGTACTTTTTGTGATTGCAGTCAAACACAAAATAACTCCTGCTTTTCATATAATCTTTAAACAATAAATTATACTTTTAGACAATCTGAAACGTACTTTTCTTTTGTTTGTTTGTTTTTTTTTTTTTTAAGTGTAAACAAACACGCTCTAAGTATATAAGTTTTGAACTCTTCAAAAATTTGAGAGAATGCAAAATATCTCCTGATTATGCTCATTTTTCTTTACATTTCCCTTATACAGATATACAATTTTATGGCCCTGCTCTCGTAACAGCTCCTCCCTGCTCCGCTTGGGGCCATTTTTTTTTTTTTTAATGTTTCACATTTGCATTTTTTAATATGATTTCTTTTTAGTGAGAAGCATTGATTTTCATTTCTAATTTAAAATTTTTGGGCCATTTTCAGTCTCATTGTGCCTTTTTTACGGTTTGGTGAAGTCATCTCTGGAGGACCTCATTTCCCTTTAACATCTGATGCTTTAAAGAAAGTTCTAACTGGTCAAGCTTCTTATGAAGTTTTCTCAAGCATTGCCCATGCGGTAAGTACTGTAATAATTTCTTTTATATTTGCATCAAGCAGACAGATACGTTCCGTATATTCACACAAATAAAATTAACTGTGGTTCCTTCTCTACCAATTGTGGCGTGCCTTTGGCTTCAATGAAATTTAGGACGATAGTTTTATGAAACTGATAGAATCCAACAGAAACTGATATTATTTATATATAGATGATGCCTTTATTTGTTTTGCAAATCACAGAAAGATTATAATTGACGGATTCAGGGATTTACGGAGGGTAAATATAAAAATTGCAGAATGAAAGAGAAACAGACTCCTTCCAGCTTTTAAAAGGCTAGAGAATCTCCACGAACAGCGAATTCTTCTTTGTTCCACTCCTGACAGACCCCTTACGATATATCCCCTTTGAACCAATTATTGGCCTCTCTCTGTGGGCTTACCCTCTTCCCTGGGAGGCGCTGCATATTTTGTTACAGGACTTTTTTGCTTGGCTCTGCTGGAATGAGTCCTGACCCTATGTTTAACCCCCTTCAGGCCCAATTCTCTTCTTTTGTACTCCCCTTCTTTTGTTATAGGTCTTCAGTATGTAAGTCCAATGACTCCAGGTCCATCATATTTTACTTCTATTTCACTGGCAGGAAAGTGTGACTAGAAAAAGAACCTTGGCTCATTTGAATAAACTTATTTTGATGGAAAGAAATGGTGGTGTTGCATGCTAGGTAGAATCCTTTGGTGGATGGGGAGTTCATTAGTCGTGATAACTCATGAATATGGACCTGTGAATTGCCGATTTGACATGAAAAGTGACAACTTCAGGGGCAAATGACCTCGGGCAGGCAGATCTAGTCAGTTTCTTAAGCAGTGTATTATGTTAAATATGCCTATTGCTGTCTACTGCTGATATGGTATAGTGTTGGGCTGGCTGCATGGCAAGAAATTTACATTTCAGCTTTAAGAAGTAATATTTTGTGTTGCTTTGCTTCGCTTAGAAGTAGAAGTTGATTTGTTATCCAGGATGATAATGAATCACAATCACCTAAAGATGGCTTGGGCTTGCACAATTCAAGGAAATGACCTTGTACAGTTTTTTGGGAATATAGATTTCAGCAAATCACACTAGAGTTATTAGAGGATCACGCCAGAAGATTACAGGTCATAGTCATGGATAAGAATGAATAGCATGGAATATTTACATGGAGGACCAAGTAATATTGGTTTGTTTGTTCAAGTGGGTTGTCCTTACTCTAATTTTGGAATCTATACTACTTGTGAGATGTGACCTGGAATCAAATAAGGATAAAAATGAACTGGCTGAGATGAGTTTAGGATCTTATGTAGAGAATAATATGCTTTAAAACGTTAAGGTAGAGGTGAGCATTGGTTGTCACTGACAATTCACCCTGACCAACCAATATTTTGGTGACAAAATATCACCCATCACCAAATGTAGTTTTAGGTAGTGGGGGCTTGTTAAAATCAGGTAGATTCGGTTAAGGCACGAAAAATATACTTTTTAACATGGCCGAGATCAATATTTGATCTTGCATGCTTTTTAGAATGGAGGCCTGATTAACTTAAAGAACTTGATTTTCATATATAAAACCCACCCACATGAAACTATTTGTCCAATTCAACTGAAACCTATTTTTGTTGGGGGAAAAAAAATGGTCGGGTTTGAACGGTCGTGACCCCTTGAAAGCAAATGCTGAAGGTGATATGCTAGATTATCTTCCAGATAATAGGAACTGAATTCCTATTTCCTACACAGTCTTCCCAAACTATTTACTTCCCTTGTTTCTGGACCAAATTACAATGCTGAATGTTCCAGAATGCATCATGATTTCAGGTGTTTTTGTCTGAATAAAACATCAATGGCAGCATTGAACTACTCATGAAACTGGAATAGTTTTACTGTAATTCACAACTCGAGCCACTTAGCATAGAACGTAATGATGGTGCCTTACATCGCTATTCATGAAGCAACATGGACAATTGAGCTGCTTTCTAATTCTGATCCTTTCTTACCATCATGTTAACTGTAATGTCATCATTATTTAGCAGTGATGCTCCACCCATTATCTTTATAATATTACTATTTTTTTTTTAATTTGTATTGTATTAGGTTCGAGAAGCTTGCATAGTCTACATGATATTTTTGGTACATAAAATCGCCAATTGGCATTGTGCCTATCAGGATTCCCTTGATTGATTTCCTTTCGAAAATATGCCATTGAAATATGTTTGTTTCTTTATCTCTTGCAGTTATTAGGGTGGCTTGTGGCAGCGCCTTTTATTCTGGGAACGCTTTACATAGTGTTTATACCATGCTTCAAGATCCTGGTTCGAAAGTTTGGCTCTGTTCCTTCAAGTCCAAAGACGGGCCATCCAAGCTTAGAAGCCAAGCAAAAGGTAAGAAATGTTTGAAAATATAGCAAGATATAGAAATAGAAGGTTTTGTCATCGCTTTACCTCGCTCAGCGAGAGTAGTAACCATTCATTCCTTTAGCGTTCCTTAATGATAACATTGTACATAAATGAAGACTCGTGACACTCAGCTTCTTCTTCTTCTTCTTCTTGTTGTTGTTGCAGCAGTAGACATGTTATTAGCTAACTTGACAACCAGAAACGGGATTTCCAGTGTTTTAGATAAATAAATTTCTGTGCATTTACCTGTGGGGCTGAATTCTTGAGGGCAGGGAAGCTAATTTTCGAAGCCTCGTGGTTAAGGGTGTTCAACTAACTCGATAGATCTAATCATACCCTCCTTCATATTGGGGTTAGCCCAAAAGACTAGGCTGGGTAGGACACACAGTTGAGGTTAAATTCATAGTGCCTAACCCAATCTACATGTGTATGCATTACTTCCTCTGTTCCTGTTTACTTGTCTTCATAGTGATAAAACACATATTAAAGGGAAAGCAATAAATATATGTACTATGTACTATCCAAGACCTAGGCACACCAAGGTTATCCAAAAAATGCTGTGTGTGACCAACAGACAATTGGGTTGTGTGTGATCGGACAGGCACTGTGCCTTAAGCTTTTGGGGGAGCTGGATCCTTTGCTTAAAATTCTATCACCAAATATGTATATATATGAACTATGCAAGAATTATTTTTGCCTTTTCAGTTTTGCCCTCCATTTAGTGCCATACTATTTTAAGTCTTAACTATCTGCAGCTAACGGGTATTATTGGATATAAGTAATAATTATATCTTGGAATGTGAAACAAAGCATATTGGTTGGGACAAAATGAAAATTCAAATCAAGACAAATAAATAGGAATGGATAAATTATTATATAATTATTTTAAGACATCTCTGTTAATAGGTGATACTGTGAAATTTTTTATTGATAGATGATATGTAAATTGATTTTATGATTATGATGGAAAATTTTTAAGATTTCAATCCGTTAATTTTATTTAAAATTTTAAAATGATTTCTTAATATTATATAGAAATAAGTCATAGTTATTGGGTGTTTAGAATTTTAGAAAATGTTATTTTTCATCTTAGCATTAGGTAATCATAGTTTTGTTATTAAATAAAATTATTTGAGTTTATTTCATTTGTTTGAGGTTGACAAGGTTTATGTTGATGTTTGTTGGACCCACTGATTGTAACTTGCTACCTCCATCTCTAATTATAAGAATTTTTTGGTAGACTGCAGATGAGGTCTTATAATTAGAACTAGAAATAGTACTAACTTGTGTTGAAAGCAAACAGTTCACTTCTTACACATAAACTAATTTTGTAAGTGGTTTAGGCTGGAGTGGGTCTGAAAAGTTGCATCCATGAAGCTGATATTTTATTGGGCAACCAATTCCATCTTCAACTACATGCCCTAAATTTAAAAAGCTTCTTGTATGCAGTGATTAAAGAACCAGATCGGATTAGACGATTTTACCGATCGGATCGTCGATCAAACTTGCTAGCGGCTCTGTTTGAACCAGAAAAGGCTTTCTTTTTTTTTTAAAACAAAATTTAACTTTTTTGTTCTTTTAGAACATTCATAAGTTTAGCTGATTCATAGGGCTGAACATAAAAATTCCTTTAGTCATTATGCTAATAAATGTTAGTTGAATTGATAAAGCTATATTTTACATTCATAATAGTAATGTTTGAATCCTACTATTTTATATTCATGACTTTAACTAATAACAATAGGTAATTTCTAATCTTTGCAAGCACTTGTTGAATTTTAAGGCATATCTTAATAAGCTTCCAATATTTATTTCCTGTAAATAAAAATGGGGAGAAACACAAGAAATAAAGAATTCAATGTAATCACCTGTAAATAAAAAAAAAAAAAAGAAGTGTTTTTACAATTTTATATTTTAGTTTCGAATACTATTTATATAAATAATGAACAGCATAATTCATATCAAATTCTAGATATACATGGAATCATGTTCTAGTTATGGTGTGTTTGGATGAAACCAAACTATAGTTTGAAGAATAGCTTCTGGAGAATAGATTCTAAAAAGAATAGATTTTGTGAAAAAGTGATTTTGAGAAGTGTGAGTATTTGGATAGTTGTTATTAGAAGTACTTTTTATATATACAAATTGACGTAAATTAATATGATAATTATAGAAAAAATATATTTTATGATATATTTTAATTTGAAGGAATAAAATTGTTAATAATATATTTTTTATTAACATATATTAATAATATATAAGATAATATAATTAATAAATAATTAATATGTATATATATTTATAAGATATAAGATTAAATATATTTATAAAAAATATGTTTATAAAAAAAACAACAAGATACATATCCTATAGGCTCTCACACTCTTTTCCTTTTTTGTCAAAAGTAAAAAATTTCTGCTTTTCTCAAAACCATGGTTTTGAACCCAAATCATGGTTTTGATTTTTTTAAGGGTGTTTGGCTAACATTTTTCCCAAACCATGGTTTGGGTCCCAAAACTATGGTTTGGGGTGCTTGCCAAACACACCCTTAATCAAAAACTAGTTTAGTTAAGTAGTGTTTTCTATAACTGTTTTTAATTTGTATGAATATATGTTACCAAATGACTCTGAAATTTGGTTCTCTCTATTCATTATATGTTTTAAGATTATACTCCATTTTCAATGGATAAAATTAAAAATATATTACTTAATTATTATCATTGAGATCATTATTATGTTGATAAATGGTAGCCTATTTGAATAACTTTGCATCCAACCAACACTTCAATTGCAAGAGATGCTTTTGGCAAAAGTACGAACTTCTGCGGAACGACTTTTTTTAAATAAATTTTACACTTTTCCTTAAAAAACGTAGATTTTTTCTTATAAACAGTTTATGAAAATTGATGTCACCAATACTCCTTTGGTTTTATTTACATGACACTTTTAATATGCTTCATCAAAATGAAAAAAAATTTTAAACCATATTAACTCTATTTGAAAATTTAATAAATTTTTAATTTTATCTCTATTTAATATATATGCTATTTCTCTATTTATAAAGTATTTCTAACATGTTTTACTAAAAACTGAGAAAGATTTTGCAAATTAATAAAATCATAAAAATAAAAAGAAAAAACTAATATGACAATTCTTATAGTTTCATCAAATTTTAAATTGGGTTCCTATAAATTTTTATCCTTCTTATTAAACTTTTAACGTTTACATTGTTAATAATGTCAGCCCTTCTGTTAATGAAGCCATTAGTTTAATTGACAATGGATGATACCTCTTCCTCAGTTGACCTCAGCGTCTCTCTCCCCCTCCTTCCCTCAGTCTACCTTCAGTCTCACCTCACTATCCCCGTGTAATTATGATCGTGATTCTTTCATTACTGTTAAAATTAGTTGTTCCATTGGTTCCCAAAAAAGAAGCAGTTGTTCCATTTAGAACATGATGCCTTCTGGGATGCTTGAATCATGACAATCAGATAGTGATAGCCTTGATAAAAGAGTGGCGAGGGGGAAAGAGTAAAAAACAAAGAAAAAAACACTCAAATTGAAAAATCATATCTGATCAAAATATTTTCTTTTCATTTTTTGTATATCTACTTATTTTTTGGGAAAAATAACAAAAAAAGAGGCTGAAAATTACTAAATATCAAATAAGAAATGTCAACAAAAATTTGTTATTATTTGCAAATTTAGTATCAACACTAAATAAAGTATTGTTGCCAAACCTGATTTCAAATTTAGTAATTTACAACTTTTTTGTGTCATTTTTCTTACTTTTTGTGCCTAAGGTTTAGTATAAAAAAGAGAAATTCAATAAAACTAATAAAACAATATCAAAGTTAGCCTAAACAGTTTCATATTTCTAATAGCTTCTCTCTATTTTTACTGTTTAAGGGAACAATAACATCTTACTGTCTATAGTGCTGGCTTAGCCTTGGGCTTGATTCCCGATACCATCTCAGATGTTGCTTGGTAGGACATTTTATCCTTTTTATCTACTTTCTCTTGTTAATCTGTTTATGTTGTTTCCTTGCCCTCTTTTCTTATTTACAGCAGTTTATCTGCTCGTTATCTTATTGTAACTTTTAAATACTTATTCTCTTATTTCCCAACCAAAAAAAAAACCAAACTAAAGTTAAGGGATATTTGAAAATATAGCAATATGTAGAAAGACTAACTCAAAATGGATAGTGCCTAACCTAATTTATATGAATACATTTTACTTCTTCCATGCCTATTTACTTGTCTTCATAAGAAAAAAACACCCATATACTGAGGAAAAAGTAAAATCTATGCACTTTGCAACAATTATTTTGGCTTTTTCAGTTTTATCATCCATTTAATTTCACATTATTTTTCCCCTAATAATGTTACACCATTTTGAATCTTAATTACCTTCGTTTAATATTATCCATCTTCATTTAGCATTATAAGCAAGTAATAGTTGTACGCTAAAATTTAAAACATGACATGAATTTAGGATATCTTAATATATGATACTGTGTCAATTTTTATTAATAGATTATATGTAAATTCACTTTATGATTATCATAATTTTTTTAAGATTTCAATTCGTTAATCTTATTTAAAATTTTTAAATGATTTCTTCACTTGATATCATTTAAAAATAATTCATAGTTATGGAGTATTGGAATTTTAGAAAATTTTATTTTCCATCCTCATATTATATGTAATTATATTTTTGTCAATAAATTAAATTAATTTGTTTTTTTTAATACTTTTCTTAGGATTGGGCCAAACCTGCTTGTTTATATTGGGCCAGCCTGGTTTCGGCTTTTGTTCACGTAAATGGGTCACTGTAATAATGGTAGGCAAACTGGTCACACGTGTCCTTGCACGCCCCCAGATATCATGGAATTTTTTTTTCTATTTTTACTCTTAATTTATTCATTTTAATGGAATATTTTTGAATCAGCGAAAATATTCATGATGGATGAAAGTCTTTTCTGTGTCCAATTGATATGAAGATTAAGGCCCAAAAAAAAAAAAGAAAGAGAAAGGAAATCAAAGAAAAAGGTGAAGATATTACTGGGTAAGAAAAAATCGTTTAATAGCAAGAATAATAAGAAAATACTAATAAATAAAAGAAATAAAAGGATAATTATGTGAAGATTCTTTTGCTCTGTACAAATGTTGTAAAAAGAAAAAAATGTTCGATCACACATCTTGTCTCTTATTTTGGGCCTTTTGTTCGAGTTTGATAGGGTTCATTTCAATGTTTTAT